GGTTCATCTAGCTAAAGTGTCATTCTATCAGTGTGCAGCAGTGAGCCATTTATTAATTTGTGAGTCGTTTTCTGAAAATTATATAGTAAAATGGGTAGCAGAAAAGGTAGGTAGAAGCACTGATCACCATTGCCAGATCGAAGATGCAGAACACATACCACAGAAGTCTGCCAACGTGATCCATGAAGGGAGGATTCAACGAAGACAGTCACGGATCGTTGCAGAAAATGCCCAGAGTTACGGAGGGCTTAGTCTATGGTCCAGGAATTACAGATTAACGGTAAAGTAAAAAAAAGGTTTCTCAATATATTATGAATTTTTTAAAAAATTGACTTCCAAAAAAATTCTCCAAGTTTGGAATATGAAGCATATCGTGTGTAAATGTGTTGATATTCCAAGAACTGTACAAGTTGTGGGCGATTTACCGAGAAGTCGACAAGCCACCAAGTTCCCAAGCGCGTCAATTCTTTCTTCAAACGCTATTACCTTGAAACATACTATTTGAAGACAGTTCCCTAAATATTCAGAATTGACCGATTGGTTTCAAAATTTGACACAATATTTTCAAATTGGTTTTCTACTTTGGAACGTAGGATTTTTTTTACTTATTTGTTTTTTTTATCAAGCCAGAAAGGTCAGAAATTAAGGTTGAAAAATGGATGTAAAGTTCAATAGGCCATGAATTTTTTTTAAATCCAAGTTGCGAAAGGCAACTACAGGCAAGGCAATTACATTTTGAAAATCTTTTTGTAATCTATGGAACCACAGATCGTGCGAACGAGGGTCATTTTTTATGACGGCAGCGCTCGTAGTCGATTCATTTGAAAAGCTTTAAAAAAGTGCTGAAATATTTTCTGTTATCAGAAACCTACAATATCATTTTTCCTGACTCATAGTCTAAACTTATCCTTCTTTTTTAATTTTGTTATGTAGTTATTGTAATAGGTTTCGACTTTTTTATGTAATGTTTTTACGTGACCTTCAGAAATAAAGCATTATTATAAATATCCAACATAAAAATTTTAATCATCAAAAAAGTTATAAAAATGTCACTAGGTAAGGTCATCGCTAGCGAACTCCAGCAGATTGTGTGAAAATTAACTACACTGATGCATTTAGCACTCAAATGCTTGTGCCAAATTTCAAAGCATTATGCTGTTTTTTAGAAAATATAAGTATATTTGATGTTAAAAATTATCTTTGATGCCCTGTTCTCAATTTTTGACAGTTTATAAAAAATATTTATTTAATGTGATGGATCTACTTATTTGAGTTAATTTGTGCATAGAAAAAACAGTAGACAAAAATTATAACAGCTTTGAGTATACAGGGTGTTCTCTCGATGTGTCTGTAACCTGGGTTACAGAATGCTTCTTTTGTGTGCTGAAATTAAAAAAATATCACATTTATTTAAATACAGTAAGACCCCGCTTAATGCTGTTTTGGTTTAGCGCTCTTTTATTTCAACCCGGGGATTCCCCGAAATTGCTCGCAGCACTACGGGGATTCCCCGAAATTGTGTGCAGCAGGTTTCCAAATATGTACATAACCTATCCGAAACAGTGTAGTTGTGTTTCTTGTTTGGCGCGGTGCTGTACGGACGCATTTTTATCAGTTGATAAACTATAACTGAAATTATGGACCAATTTGTTGAAAATGATCCAAATTTTGACAGGAGTTCAAAAGCAAGACGGGATGTTATAGATGCTTTATCCACTTATTAACAACTTCTAACAGAATGCAAAAGGAAAACACAAACTACATTAGATGCCTTCTTAACAAAAAGGCAGAAAATTGGAAACACAGAATAGACTGAATGATCCGACTGACTTAGAATTTTATTTGTTTTTATAGTATTCGTTTATATTGTTTTTATTTTTGTAAGAAATAAATGTTTGGATTTATTTTTATTAAAAAAAAAACATAATTATTAAATTTAATACCTAACCAATTTTCTGTCCATCTTCCCCTATCTCATTATTTACATGTTCAGATAGCCTTGTTTAGCGCTGTTTCGCATTACCCTCTACTTTGATGGAACGTATCCTACGCGTTAAGCGGGGTCTTACTGTATCTTAGTTTTTGAAATAGATTGAATAATCTTGAAGTACTGAACTAATCGTAGGCAAACGTCGGCTGAGTCGATAGACAAATTTTCAATCAGTGGCGGCAATTTGATAAGTGCATTTAATTTCAATTAGAGTTTCTAATCGAAAAATGGGCCATTATTTGTTCTTTCCGTTTTCCTATAAAAACTCAAAAGAAACCTTGGGACCGGTGATATTTACAATCAACAGCCCTGTAATATGGACTTAATGGCATATTAATTGATTGCACTTATTCAAACTTGCATTTTGAGTGTTTTAAGGAAAATAACAGTATTCAGTCCTACTATGAGTTTGTGTTTTTACTTTGTTTTACTGTTTTAGATTTAAATGTTAAAAGTCTCCAATATTAGAAGTCTTAATTTATATTCAACAGAGTTGTTTATTGAAGTTGCAATACACCAATTAGAGACCTATTTCAAATACTTTATTCCTGTTTAATTAAAACAAATGGATTTTATGCAAACAATGACTAATAAATTGAATGTTTTATGGGTAAAAACAAAAAAAAAAAAAAAGATAAGTACATTTAAAATTGTGCTAAAATATTACTGGCTTATTAAAACCTCATTAAAAATACATGGCATAATAGACGTTGATGCATAACAATATCCGGTTTGTTTTTTTATAACATTATTTTATATATCTAACTTATTTCAAGTCCATCAAAGAAAAAAAAAACAAAAACAAATAAAAATATACTATTTATGAGGTAAAAGATCGCAAATATGAAATGCACAAAAAATGTATGCATTATAAAATAAGCATTAAATATAATATAGACCTCTACTAAAATATTTTATATATATAATTCGGACTATGTACATAGAACTAGCCTAATACTTCCTAAATATGAGGAATATCTACCATTTCTATCACTGGGTCATGATACATCTTAACTATGATGGATGAGAAATTATTAAAATTTTAAATTTACAAGAAAATTTGGGTAGTACAAATAAAGCAATATGCATATCAAAATTTTACGGAAGTTTGGTACTGACCTAAAATATATTTTCTTCAAATTATTTTGTAAAAATTCTGATTTCAATATTTTTGAATATCATACTGAAAAAGTATGCAAATGCAAATTATCTGTTGTGAGAATGAATTTTAAATTTAACTACTCAACTTCAATTACTTGTGCTAAATGATTTCAATCATACCAAGTATCTAAAAAGGGTATACTTTAAATCTTTAAAATTTGGGACATAAAGAAAATCTCTTGTATATAGAGTATGGTTAGAGTAGTTTTATTTTTCATTTTACAGAAAAAGTTGGTTTTGGTAAAAATTTTGCTTGTTTTTACGATAAGCATGGGCAATTTTAAGTTTGCATAAATATACAAGATGTAACAAGTTAAAAAAGTTTCAGGGTATACCGAGGAGCAGGGTAGATTTGTACCCCAACTGAAAGTGGGGTATTTAATAATAACGGAAATTTTGTTCACATATAACAAATAAGAAAACATCCATAATCTTTTTCTCTTTTTTAAAATTATATGTCTGAAGGAAATTACAGGTACAATAAAACTGTATAATATAGTTACAATGTAATAAATAAATTATTTTTAATGTTATTGCCTGTTTATTACCACTGTCGTTATCTTATGATTCAGCATCATCATCATCATCATTGCCATCATTTTAAGAAAGATTTTATAATCATTGGCATCTCTTGACTACCATATCAGGGAGGGCGGAAAAATTTAGGTACAATGTATTGAAATATATATATATAATTGGGTAGTTATTTTTTTAAGTACTATCGAAAAATAGGAAACGTGTTGAACATTATTTTTTATAGTTCAGAAGTTCATTATAGACTTATTCATGTGAGCCTAATTACAGGATATGAAACGTCAGACAAACAAAGAGGTAAAAAACATTAAAATACTATCACTATTAAAACTAGTGCACATTTACAATAAGTTATAGGTTAGTCTGCAGTTAAGACCCAAACTGGACGTATTCATCTATTGAGTAAAAGGCATGTTGGGTAAGAAATTGCTTTAGGTTTGTTTTAAACTTATTTAGATCCATGGGTCCTAAACTCAACCATTTCCGAGAAAAAAATTAACAAAATCTTCAACTTGATGTACAAAAGTTTGATTAATTACGGAATATTGACATAACTGTGCATAGAATATGATACAATACAATGTTTATCATTTTTTAAAAACTTTTCTATGCTTAATTCTAAGCAATAATTAGCGTTGTAATAAATTTAAAATTCGATAAAGTTCATATCGAGCAATGTGACAACGGCGTGGCAGACAACACGAGGTACTAAGCTGTCAAGCAATACGCAATTCAGTCGGCATCTGGAATTGGACCATGTCTGAGTATTTTCTGCATACCAATATTTCCTTTTCTTGAGGCGTTTTCCAGCGAGTGCGCGAAAATTGGAGTCAAAGGTGTCGTGCGTGCATCGAAAATGGTGGTGGACATTTTGAGCATGTTGTAGTTTGTTTTGTACTTGTGCGTTTAAAAATTATCAAATTTTGCTTTTTGGTAAGTACCTAAATTATTTTTAATACATATGATGTGAATCTTTGGGTACTTTAATAACATATTTTTCAAATTCATAATTTCATTAAAAGTTAAGTTCCGGTTTTAAGAGATTTATAATTACTAAAATTCGAGCTAAAATTTAACAGCACTATCTTCGTACTACAAAATCGATACATTTTATTTTATTTATTTAAAAACTGGAAAACAATTATCTTGAAATTTACTAAATGTTTCAGAATAATAGTTGTTTACATTTTTTCCGTAGGACAAGTCTGCCGCGTGCCAACGTGGTATGCACCAGCTGTGTAGCGCTGTTGTCACATGATGAAACTCCCCGATATTAATACTCGCTGTATTTTGAAAACTGTTAATCTTACGCCCCTGTATACAAAACTTTTTTGTTCATTTATGATTACTCTATCTCATGCTGAAGTAATGGCAGTCAAACTTCTTATACCATGTATAGTGAAAACAGTATGTATGTGTGTATCTAGTAAGTACCTAACTGTTAGATTTGCGATAAATTTATCCTAAAAATGTTTTCAATAAATTAAAGAAAATCTAAATAAGTATTGGAATTTTCAAGGTATTGACTGACCACCTTGAATTTTTGTGTACAAGATAGTGCAAAAAATATTACCGTCACGAAGACAGAACCTACTAAAAGAAGAGGCAATTTCCTATACAAATGTCCCAAAACCTGAATCTCTATCGTCATTATTTATAATTTTAATTTAATGTTGAAAATAGAACTTTTAACAAAATAATTTTAGTGCCCTTTTTTTAAATAATTATCCGACATTGAATGTTAACGTGAACTCTATAATTTTTAGTTGATTAACAATGGTCCTATTTGTTGAAAAATCGATGAAAAAATTTTTTCTCAAAGGAATTTTTTATTTAAGTGTAATCTTTATATTGATATTTAATCATAAAAAAAATGTTGTCTTAAGGAGATTTGGGTTTTGACATTTGTATAGGAAATTTCCCCTTCTTTTAGGATCTTTTTCCGAATTGATGCTAATGCTTATATTTTTCGGGTTATTCGCAAGGTTGCAGTTTATGGACGTTTTTCTAGACGTCATTCTGAGCCCTCAGCTACAACCCTTAACTCAAATTATCAATATTTATTATTTTTCATGGTTTTGAAGATGTTATCTAGCCTAGAGAAAAACGAGTTGCTAGCAGCAAAGCCAGACATACGTGGCCCGAGTATCCAACGATCTAGTTTATGGACAAGCTGGGAGTTGTTTTTTACCTAGTCAATAGTGGTACAGATTTCATGCACATGGTAACAAATACTATATTCGACGTAAGGTTTCGCCTCTTTACTATTTCTCAACGCATAAATAATAAATTTGGAGTGATTAACCCTGTGTACATATTTTGGTTAATGCCTATTTTTTAAACAATTTTCATTATTTTGGTATTAAAATCATATTTATTTGTATATAAACCACATTAGAATTTCAGAAATGAACTGCGTAGATTATTATTCGCCAAACAAACTGATTGTGTTCATGGGAATATCATATTTTTTAGAATCTGTATCATAACGTAAATGTTAACTTACCAAAAAATTCAAGCAGCCCTTTTTGTGAGACTGTATTAACTAAATCTATAATCTCATTTACAGTTTTTCTGTAGTAAGATTACTGAAAAATATATAAAATAGTTACATCAATACCAAAGTAGCTTTTCATTTTTTCATCATAATTCGAAGAAAATATTTTTTCCTTTTGTTATAGCACTTTCTAATTTAACCTGTTAACCTTCCAGCAAAAATTTCAGTTTTATTTTGTAATAATAAAATATATATAAGTTAAAATTTTAACTTGATTTTCAAGTATTCACAGCCATAAGATAACTTCACTGAGAAAGTAATGAGACCGAGTTAACATAATAGTACTCGTAGTTGATTATGATTAGTGACATTCAACCACAAATTTTCTTGTAGTAATAAAAAAAAAACAAAAAAAAACTAGAAAGGCTACCGACAATATGCCTCTAACATTTCCAAAAATAATTTGTTCATTGGGACTAAATCTTGTTGATGTACATCTGACCAAAACCTTCTGACGATGTGATCCGCTTGCCTTAAGGCTGGCATACAAAGTAGCAGTTGCTGAATTTGACTTACAACTCCTGTCGGCCTAAAAAATATATTTTTAAGAAAAGAAAAAGTGTCTCCCTTTTATTTACCTTAAGATACCGATGGCATCTGAAAGAGCTGATAGTATTGTATCCCGAAATTTTTTCAAAGATTGGTATTCATCTAATCTAACATCGGAATTTGTGAGGATAAGAGCTTTTAGGAGGTAATATTCTTCTTTTAGGATGGACAGACTGTCTAACCTATCAACTACATGGCAGCACTGCAACAAAATTATTCAATTAATTTTCATGTCATTTTGATGACCCTATTAAAAATAAAAAAACAGTTCTTTCTGGTTATTCCTGATCAACATTTACAAAACTAGTTAATAATATTACTATGTTGTTTAAAAGGGAACACAATACTAAGAATATTCTATCAAAGAACAAGACAGACACATCCTATAAAAAACGAGAAAACTGTGGTCTGAATCACTTGAACCTGTAGATATATTTAAAAGTTATTTTATCCAGCTCCTTGTGTGATTGGAAGCTATTCACTTGTTTTTTTTTCCAATGTACGAGGGTTGTATGATAAGTACCCGGCCTTAACAAGAAAAAACATTTTTATGTAAATTATTTTTTATTTTTCAATGTAATCTCGTTTCAGTTTGATACACAGTCCAACATTTTTCTATTTTTTGTATCTCCTCTAAAAAATATCATTGCTCCAACCTCTCAAAATAAATGTTCATTTCAGCAATGACCTCATCGTTAGGGCCAAATTGTTTTCTGTTGAGGCCTTTTTTTCATATTTGGAAATAGGAAATAATTGCTGGGTGCTAAATCTGACAAATATGGTGGATGCGGAAGCAATTCATGTCCAAATTCATGAAATTTTGCCAAATGCGAATGTTTTTCTTTTACAGTATGGTTGAAACGATCCAATAAGTTGACATAATAAGTTAATCGACGTGAATTATGCCATATACAGCCCAATACACTGTAGCTATAACTTTGTACGCAGATAAAGTCGCCTTCTTTGGAGCAGATTGGTCTTGAAAAACTGTCTGTTTGGACTGTTCTGTGCTCTCTGGCATGCTATAATGATTCCATGCTTCGTCAGTTATGAACCGATGCCAAAAATATTTCCGATTGTATTTCAACATCACTAAATATTTCTTTGAAGTTGACACACCTGTGTTTGTTGTCAATTGTGAGCAACTCTGGCACCCATATTGCAGAAAGTCTCTTGTATCCAAATTAGTTGTTAAAATATTCTGCACCCAATTGAGATGCCCACAGTATCAGCAATCTCACATACTTTCACTCTCCGATCATTTATCACAATATTGCAATAAAAGCCGGGACACGTGGTAATTTATTTGTTAATTCTCGGACCGGATGGGCCAACTCAGACAGTAAAATATTTCAGTCAACATTAATTATCAAAAAGTTAAGGGTTTTCAAGTAGGTTTAGCGTCGCCACAAAGCCGTCCTTCAGAGAAGGCCCCATGAAATTTAGCAATGTTTTTTGAACAAGTTCACTTAGACCATCGGGGCGATGTGTTGAGCATCTGGTATCAAAGAAATAATCGATATTTCTAATAACACGCAAAATTAATTTGAAATCCGTCCCGTATTGCTATACAGAGTCACAAGAGGAAGGTGTAGGGTTATTTGTAAGTTTAGTCTCAAAATTATTTAGGCAATTGTAAATTCAGTAAATCAGATAACTATTAACATGGTGTAGTTATGCCAAAGTGTCCCGATATTCAGGGATCCCGCCAGTAAGATAAGAATAGAAACTTCTGGACTCAAGGTGTTGAATTCAGGAGAGACCTCCAAAAAAGGCAGTTTTTCTTTGGGTTCCACAATGAGCAGTCTACTTAGTTTTAGAGTCTCGGGTTAATTTAATAACGCATAAAGTCTTTCCAAATTTTGCTATGGATCTCACATTCCCTGAATCTCAGTATGCGGTTGCATATAAATGAATCAATAATGTTTGTTCGAATATAAATGAATCAATAATGTTTGTTCGAGTCTGTTGTATTGTTTGTTTTGTTTATTTTGTTTTTATTGTTGTAAAATTACAAAAGTTGTTCTATTTAAATGGCTGGCATTCATAAACTAAACTATACAGTGACTTGACAGTATTCTTGCGAGGTTATAATTATGAAATATTATCATTTTTTAAATACTGCCAGTGCCATCTCTTGCCTAGACTAGGTACTTATCATACAGCCCTTGTAACATTTTTTTGCGTTTCCCAAGTTCTGAAAATTATCATTATTTCATGGATGGATACCAATAAAAATATTCAACTTGAGTTTTCCTTGTATTCTTCTTCTATTTATCAATCAAAAACAGAAGACTTGCTGATATATGAAGAAAACATGAACTATGCATTTAGTGAAATAGTAATTTTTTAAATTTATTGAGATTCTCGTTACTTTAGTATTTGTTTGATATTAAATAAGTACCTATTGTAAAATAACTGCATATCTTCAATTAGTACAATTATTATTAGTACATCCTTTAAAACTTGATTTTTATAATCTACCAGGAAACTGGATAAAAGTAATTTTAATAAGAACTGCTTCTTATGGAAAAAGTTCTAAAATTTTACTGAACAGCTTACTGGACTATTCTTCAAAATTCTTGTCATTGAAACATTTCTTTGTTTCTATACTGCTTTGAAAAGCAATGTAATTGTCACTCAGAAGTTATTTATGTGCCTTATACATTTTTGTCATAATGTAAGTGTATTATTTTATAGTTTTTGTGATGTAGGGCCTTAGAATTTTGTACGGAACATCCCGTATTAGAAATTTTTCCATAAAATAGTATCAAAAATGATTTCCGAATTCTAGAAAATTATATACATACCGTTTGATACAATTCTATAGCTCCACAATCTCTGGACTGCTTCTCGTCTAGGGTGAAGTCTGTGGCAAACTTTAGTCTCCCTAAACTCATAAGAGGCAAACTTCTAAAAGCTAAAGTAAGAGTAAGTATTTCTGCCCACGTACTTTGCAGTAAACGCATTTGGTCATTTAAAGACAAATCCGTAAAACCAGGTATTTGTTTTGCCCAACCGATTATGCCAACAAGTTCTTTATCATACAGGTCACTAAGTATTGAAAGGGTCCGATGTTTTGAGTTTTCTAAAGTTGTGTTGATTTCCAAACAATCAGGTTCACAAGCTGCTAAAGCTTCCAACATTTTTATGTCTAGAAACATATTACATAAATTTGAGGGTATTGTGATATCTAGGCTTCTTACCTTCTAAAAGTAACATGGGCCGTGCAGTAACAACTTGAACCTGATAAGGGCTTTCCGGGTTTCTCCTATATTTTTGTCTTCCGCCTCTCACTCGATCTAACCGAACACCCTCTTTCAACATTCCTGACCTTAAACATTTACGAAATCTGCATGCTTGGCATGCTTTTCTTCTTCTTTTGTTTATTTCACATTCTCCAGATGCTGGACATGTGTATTCAATATTACCTGAAAATACAAGTAAGTATGAATATTTGAAATGATATATGTTTTGACTCAAAAGTCCATAGAAATTGGTCAAGAAATTGCAAATAGAATAGGCATGATGACAGTAACCAAGAATCGTTAAAATTATGTTTTTATTTTTATATTATAAGCGAGATTGATAATATTTTTGACAAAATAAATCCACCATGATAGGCTGAATCAGAGTCAGTTACGTCGATTGAACTTTGAGTATCTCCGCAGTATTTATCTTTGTTTACATATTTTGTGTTTCCCAACGAACAGTTGTCTAGTTTTATGTTCCCAAAACCATAATCAAGAAATTTTATACATGCAACAAGGATTCACTAAAGCAAATAACTTTTAATTTGCCTAGAATTGATTTGTTGATGCTGGGAGTTTCTTGCATCAAACAAAGGATTTTGTTCAACTGAATTTAGAAATGTAAAAACTTCTATATAAGTACATTAATAATCTTTAAAAACTATAATAATTTAAAAGTTCAAACCCCGTAAAACCTGTCCTGTATATCTGTAGAATGCTATTGAATAAAGTCCAAACTGTCTAGGATTGGGATTACGCTTAAGGAGGTTTATCGGGTACGGGGGTGCATCTAAAGTCTAATGAGAGTTTATGTAGATTAAAGTGATTAAAGTAGTAAGCCTTTAGATTTGGCAACGTTGCGCTATCACGCATAATGGAGGTTAAGTTAGTTAAGGACAGCAGTCTCAAGGAGAATTATTATAAATTATGTATCTTACAAATACCTAATCGATTTCTTCGAGCCGTCTTACGGTTCCTTAGATATTGGTTTCCTATTTATACAAGTTGCTGTGGAAATTGTTCGTTAATTGTTGTGTATTCTAAGTGGAAAAAATTTGCATTCTCATAAAACTTCATAATAAATAGTGAAAAACTATTTTATTTATTTATTTTTATTAATATCTCGTCTCTTAGGTATCCAAACTAGTCATAATTTTTTTTGAGGATTTTCTTCATATTAATAAGCTTATACATATTATTTTTTTTTATGAATGTTTGTCAATTTACTAACTGTGACTCAAAAACAATTTATATACAGTATGTCTACAGAAAAGGTGTTGAATAGGAAAAACTTTCTTATTTTTCATTTTATCGAAAAAAGTTACTCTTGATAAGATTGGGATAGAAAAATTTAACATTTCTTGTACAGGGTATCCAAAAAAAATTGAAAAAACTTTAAATGGTACAAGAGTAAAGTGCACTTATTTGAGAAGACGTGGAAATAAGTTACTAGGAAAAGTTGTTAAAAAGTCTCTAATACCAATTTTCGAACAAATCGGCCTACCTTTATTTGTAATCATTAAATTTATTTGATACAAATTAAATTATTCCAAATTAACAATTCAATTGTGTTGTAGTAGGCGTTGATAGTAACAAGTTGATTTGACAATTTGCTGTTATAATTTATTAGCATAGTTTTAATACATTGTACTATTTTATCTGTTTATTGGTCATTGCCATTGCCAGGTTAAAATGCTTACTTTACAGCAAAAAATTTACTTAGTACAATGTTATGGGCAACGCAAAAAATGTTATCGTCAAGTTATTCAGAAATTTAATGAAAAATTCTCGAATGTGTAGGAGGCTACTTGCCGTAAGATAATTTTTAAGTTTTTAAGTACTGGCTCAGTATTGCGAATACCCCGAGTGAAAAATTAAACAATGAATGAATGGCGTTTCACTATTATGTCAGATGCCAAGACCTATTATCTGTTACTTAGACTCTATTACCAGAGAACACTATAGCAACGAGAAGCGACAGAAAAGCATTTTGCATTAACAGTTTTCGTACACGCATGCGCGAACTGGGTTGTGTTGCTGTCAGCTGTCAGTGGCTGTCAGAGCCGCCAAATATAAATAGAAGAAACCAGTGGTTAGTAAATAGTTTTTTTTGACAGTGGACAGTTGTGTTGTATAACGTTAATTCATAGTGTATTGTATTTCGTTTTCATTTAGGATCAACTTGAAATCAGTAAAATGTCTGGTTACTATTGTGCTTTTCGCGATTGTTCATCCAAAACTGGTGAAGGATTAACCCTTTTTAGATTCCCTAAGGATTACAAAAGGTGAATGTAGCGCAAAATAATTCTAATAAAATGTGTTTTAAGATAGATATGCATTTTTAACGGTACCTAGTTTATGCGAATTTACCCAATTTATATTTTATTGCATTGAGGACAGGTTCCCCTCTTTAGGGCTATCCACAATAAAACATGTAAAACTATGTCTCAAATTTAAATAAAAATGAATTGTCTCTTAACTCATACAAAATCTGTATAATTTTTGGCAGCATATTAGTCTGTAAAAAGGTTTAAAAAAAGGGTTAAATCATTAGTTAAGTATCATTATTATTATCATATTAAGAAAATATAAAACAAATAATTAGGAAAATAGTATACATAGTACATATATGATAAGCCTACTTTTTTTTCTATGACATTTTAAATAACGCCAAAAGAATAAATCTATATACCACTGAATTATCTACAATTTACTATTTAATGGACTTTCTGTTTCCTTTAGCCTCTAAAATTTCAATACATTTATCACTAATTCTGGACACTGTACCTAGGTATATAACACAATGCTATGAAACCCGTTGCGATGATGTTATAATTTGTCTACATTCTATCACAGTTCAGTGTATACCTATTTATTCAAAAGTATAACTTCTCTGTGTAAACGATTGTGTTTCCTTCAAATTGGTTCACTCTAGCATGACCAAGGAGCCGCCGATTCTGTCGCTTCTGGTTGGTATAGTGTTCTCTGCTATTACTCTATCGTAAACATTAGATCGTATTAAGAAATACTGTTTTTTCTTTGGTGTTTTAGTGATAACTAAAAAAATTTGAAAAAATCTTTACCAATTGAATGCATCTCCTTTATTCCAAGTTCCCCCTGGTATATTTAAAAATAAAAAACTGTAAAACCAAACCCAATTACTTGGTGTACATTGTTGGCTATATTAAAATAAGTGACTTTTTCCGCCGCAAAATCTCGAACAAGTATGTCTCGTTTGACGTACATCATGTAGCCTGTGAAATAAAGACAGACCAGATAGTTTCGCTTGATATAACCAATGGGTTGATAACATTTGTCTCTATGAGTTTAACTGCTCTGAAATGTATTGAGCTGAGCAGTGGCGGCTCGCCGGGGTGGGCAGGGAAATTTTCAGAAGAATAAACAAAAATTTGTGTATATATTTATCAAAGTGATTTGACAATTCTTATAAAATTAAATCTAAAATGCGTTACCTCCGAAGAAACTCCCCCTACCAAATTATAAAATTATATTTTAATCATGATCTCGGCAGCAACCAACATAACATTCGGGCGAGCCCGTGGCCGCTGAATTAAACAACGCCGTACGTTGCCTGCTTATACGCAGGGCTAGGACTAGAGGTAATCGGAAACGTAAGTCGTTCACTAATTTAGAATATCTACCCCAAGTCGGGCGAGCCCGGACACAGCCCGTATCCGCATACTCATCAGGTGTTGTATCGGCCAGCTACGGCTTTTCGCCAGCCAGCCAGCAGCGGTTGGAAATATATGTATATTTATGTGCTGTAATTTTGTTCTTTAAATGAATTTTTGAACATTAGAACAATTTTTCCCTGCAAAGGTATTCCAAAAAACAAATATTAGTGAACGAAGTAATAAACCCTTTTATAATTTGTAAATCGCGTTAAAAAATAAATATCTATATGTTGAATGTTCTTTGACAATTATATTTATTAAGGTTATTTTGAAGCGTTACTGTTAAACTAAATTAAGAGTGATTGCTGAAAAATGTTCAATATTTTAATAGATTCGAGTTTGTAAATATGGAAATGATATAAATTATTTTTAGGACTTTTAAATTCGATACATATTTATTTATTTTTTCAAATAATAAACTGTTCGATTAAAAAAAAAATAGCTTCTATTTAATATATTTTTTTTATTTCAATCAGATTTTTAATAAATTATCATTTGAATATACATAATTACCTAAAATAATTCTACTCTCCGGGCAAGCCCTTCGACTTCATTCGTATATTCTTCGGGTACTTATGTGCAATCTGCGGTTTGATGTAGTTTTATTTCATAGATTAGGAAGGTAGAGATTTGTTATTCCTTGTACTTCACGACTTGCTTGTTTGTAAGTTCTAGGTTAGGGTTAGTATAGTGGTTTAAGTAAGTTTTTATTGTTTAATAGTTTGGAGTAAAGCAAAATGGCAAGCCGAAAATAGCGAATTGGTGAGTAGCAATAGTGATATTATTAATTTTTTATTAAATAAAAAATTTTGTATGTTAACTTTCGATGATAAATTATTTATTTCAAAATTAAAACCTACGCCTGACATGAAAAATTTAATAAATAACAATTGCGGAACAGATCATTTAGTAAAAATTGGTACAATAAATATGAGTAGTGAAACCAGAAACAAATTATATTGTTGGAATTGCTTACAATTTAATGAAAAAAGTAAAACTCCATGGAATTATCTAGGATATTCAGATCTGAAACATATAAATGAATCTCTAAAAAAACACGAGCAATCGGAGGAGCATACATATTCAACATTAAAATTTAAATTATTAGGAAAACAAAACATTCAAACTTTTTTTGATTCTGCATTTCGTGAGAATATTTTAAACCATAATAAAGTCGTGGACGAAAATAGACATTGTAAAGCGCCTTATTGATTTGGTTATTTACTTATTTATTTATTTACTTATTAGAATTTTAGTATAATTTATCGTTAGTAATTTCAGCTATAAAAGTGATAGTGAATTTTACTATTTGTTTAGAGAATTATATAATTTTTTATGTCCTATGCCTTAATCTTTGCCTTAACCCCTAGCCCGGCAAGAAATCACTGTGATGACATTCTCGTTTGTTCTTGCTGAACTATTAGGTATACTTTTGGAATAACTAATATAATTTTCAGGTATATTAACTATTTTCATAATTCTTAAGTTTTTTACACTTTCAAAAGTAAATAGACTAACGCAGATTGCAATTATTATATGATATTAAGTTACATGAGAAAAAATATTTTGCCCACCCATCTCAAAAAGTCACGAGCCGCCACTGGAGCTGAGTTGAAGGGACTGAAATTTAGAAAATAAATGGTAGTGTCAATAAATATTTAAATGTTTTTTTCAATGGATTCTCATTGATCAATATTTAAAATCTGCACCGTTTATTTTCTGCATGAATTGAATTTAAATTTACTAGCTTGTACATGTGTCAAAATGGCGGCCGTTAAACGATGTCCAGTTAAGGCAGTTTCAAGCTTATCTTCTATTTATCATTATCTATGACAACACGCAAAGACAAATAATAATCCTCAACATGCTATTGCATGTAAGATGAAGCTAAAAGACGTTAGTGATATCTGAATTTATTTAATCATACAGCATGGCCAATGAATAGGAACAAAGGCGGAAATTAGGCTGGAAATTATGAAACTGTGTAATTTACTGATTGGAAATGTGCTTATTCGACTGAAAAAATATGAAAAAAACATGTAGTACCCCAGAAATATGTAAATCTTTGTAAAATATTATATGTAACAAGTATGAACCTTAAAGTTATGCTTACTTATAATTTTTAAATTTTATGTATAGTGAATTTACTGTCTTAGACGAGTGGTAAACTATGACCAAAATTTGTACACTGCACATCCACCTTTTATGTAGGGACATCAATGTACAACATCGTGGTCTATCTCTGGGCTTTAGGTCCAGTTTTACAATTGACAATTTATGTTTAAGTAATAAAAAAGTTTTTGAACTATGACTTCATATCAAGGACTTAGATTTCTTGGGAAACAACACAATAAATTGTGTAGTCAAAAAATAAAGCTGTCAGTAGTTAACTGCATTTAATAAATTAATTATAAATTGAAAAAGGAAAATTAAATTTGTTGACTGTTATGAATATTCTGTCGAGGCTATCCATTTGGTGGTGTAGGATTGGACTGTTTTGAACTTAACCTGCAGAAATTTGATTTGAGATTTATGTGAGGAATTTGAGATATTTTTTTCAGAAATAAACGTTTAATTGACATACATAAATAAAATTAACATAAATGCAAATACTTAATAAGAAATTTTCTTCAAGCAAAAATTAGACTTCATTCATTTTTCATTACAAAGAAAATAGCGCAAGCACAAAATACCGTCACAATATCGCTATCCGATGCAAGATTATAAAGAAAAATCCTATAAAAATATTTTTGATTATACGGCATCTGTATTATTTCACAGTATGGAAGTAAAATAAAACAAATATAAATATATACATAGAAATGTTCTTTCTATTTATATTTATCAATTTTGACTCTATTAACCATCAAATATGCTTATGGCCATAATGACCAAACTATCCATACTGTTGCAGTAGGCAACATGTTAAAATTTCATATACCTGCATTTCTGTTAAATACTGATAATTAATCTCCATTTGTGAAGTTGTTTGGTTGTTCAGATTGATCTTAATATTCAAATTAAATATGAAAAATAAGTGTCGATAAAGTTCATTTAAGCAATTATAAGTTTTTCAATTCTAAATTTACATTCAATTAGCTAATTTCAAAAACTATGTCAAACTGAAATGGTGCCACACTTTTTTAAATTTAGATTGTATAAAAAAATCAATAAACAAGTAATGCCATTTATGATACTTAAAAAGTTGCAAATTTTAAGTCTTAAGAACCACATATTAATAAGAGGTTAAACTGTACTATAGTAACCAAATGAAAAATCGACAAAAATCAAGAAAATATTGTGAGGGGACTTCAGATATAGTTCGGGAAAACAACCCTTCCTAAGACCATGTCTGTGACCTACACGAATTGTTTTTGGAAGTACTAGACTTTGTTGAAAATCAAAATCTTAAAGATGACCAAGGACTATTGACATGAATGACAATATTCAATCCGAGGCAACGTTTCGGTGTGTGTAAGGCTCGGCTGTTGTCCCCGAGCGAGAAAAGTCTATTCTGTGTTGTGTTGTTTACTAACCCCATTTGCACTCCCGCTCAAGATATATGAATCAATTGAGGGAATATGAGTAACCAATCGGTGCATTCCCTTGAATAAAAAACAAGTACATAAGAAGCTGGCTAAATACCCTCTGGGTGAAGGCCAAAAAAAGAAGAAGACAATATTCAGTCTATAAAATTTTTATAACTAACATGTATTGCCATGCTATTACTAAGACAATAATTAGAGCTAGATGTGATTTTAGGGCAACTGAGAATGAAAAACAATTAACTGTTAATAACTTCCTCCCACGTCTTTGAGAAAATATATTTCTAAATTAGGAAATCATGTATCAAAATAATATGTATCAATTATTAGCGTTTCTATAAATATAAAAAAAAGTTTGTATTTGTTTATACTTTGTCCTTACTTACTATACCTATCAAATTTATTAAAATAATTAGATCCAAAATTAACAATATTTCCTTCTTGTTGATCAGACACATAACCAGACCTGTGAAATTGAGTAGCCCGAGGTAGGGGGCCATTATTTTTTGAGGTGGGCCACTGTCTCCTTTCAGTATTATAGATCACAAATTTCAATGGTTAAGATATAAACATTATATTAATTGCAACTTAATTCAACCAATAACGCCAATATGATAAATTTGTTAGTGTATTACACTGAACAATTATAATCCGTACTTAGTAAAGTAAATCTGTATAGCAGTATCGATGCAGAAATCTAGTGACTTGTAATAATTTTCGTTCTTGAATTTTTGTTTTTTTTTCAATTCATATCAAGGACGTATCATAGCACCATATTGAAAAGTAAAAAGTACTAATTTTGTGTATTAAACTTTTCAACACCTAGAAACTTTTTGTGGGTATTTATAAATCATGAAAGACGTGGTAAAAATATAATGCATACCTCAAAAATCATCAACAGTAGCTAAATGTCAGCAGATGCGTAAAACATAATGTATAGGTAATAACTAATTCATAGCACTGACACTATTGCTTCTAAAATGAAACAAATCAAAATTGTAATTATAAACATGAGATATATATGAAAACATGTTATATAGGGAACAACTCATCCTCTATTAATGATAATAATTGTAGGCAAGTTTGTGTAGGGACACTAGTCTCCTGGTACGTTATTGTTTTCATGTAATAAAGTAATATTTTGGTGTAAGCTAGAATAAAAAACATCCAGTTATTTATAAGGTTAGTATCTCGATGTAAATATTGTTATTTAAATCATTTCGAATAATATTCACAATTGCTGCATTGTACATTTAAGTATATTTTCCTGCATTAAGGGTATTTGTCGGTGTAATTAAATAGTCCCAATCCATTAATAGCCCTAATCCGAGAACAATGACCAAAAACACTGGCAAGTACACTCGGACAGGTAATTCTTTAATATAAATGTGAGATAGCCAAGTGATGCAGCTCTCTTCTCGTCGTGCCATTGCAGAGTACAGTTCGTTATCTGATATCATCAATTTCCTTTTGTACATTTTTCCTTAATAGTTAATTGCAAAATAAATTATTTATCGTGTTACTTAGTGTGAGCTTATATTTAGGTGGACAGTAACCTTCCCCAAACTGCATAATATGCATCATTCAATATGTCATTCATTCAAATACCCATTTCCGTATTTCCCTTTTAAATAAGTACAAAATACAAATAATGATTCAAGTCTTCTTAAAAATGGTCATTAATCTGGCTATACTATTGGTACTGTATAATTTTAATTCACACGGTTTTTGCACAATTTTTTATTTCAGAATATACCTGTCATAATTGGTTTTAAGCTAAGGTATTTGCTGTTATGTTTCATATAATATACTTATATACATTTTTATTTTTTTTTTATTTAGTACAAAGTAGTAGTATTATTAAGTTGTAATCATAAAATTGATAATTGCTGCATCACTAATAATAGGTAAATAATTTAAAAAAATAGGTTACATACGTGTTTGCTATTACATTTGCTCACGTTTATCATAAGCTATTACGGTTTGTGTTGAGCTGATTTTTATTTCTAAAATTGCCATCATCAATTTTGGCCAATAAATCGGCCAATTTATTGTAATATGTCAAGAATTATGAAAAAATGTGAAATTTCTTGACCAATCTTTTAGGTTAAAACTACTAAATGCGAAACAATTTAAGATGAGCTGGTCTTGTATTTATTACTTACCTTGTATTGTCCTTTTGAAAAATGCTTTACATGCTTCACAAGAAGCTACACCATAGTGAAAACCTGAGGCAACATCACCACAAACGAGACACAATCTTCTCGGTGAATCTTCTTCCTTCATTTCACCCTAGAATCGAACATAACTATTGGACTATTTTCGAATGATAACGATTGGATGAACATAAAATGTTTTTATAGCAGTATTTGAAGAAGTTTATGAAATTTTCTTTGAACAAGAAAAACCACCTACTCATACTGTAGAAATCATATTCTGATGAACAGTCAATCTATTCGACAATTTCCATACTAAATTTATTCATTATGTTATGTAGTCTAGACCTCATCTATCATTCATTTTGAGGTATATCTTTTTGTGCACTGCACATATTAATAAACAAGTGCAAGATAAATTAAAAATATTTAAAATTATCTGTTAGCATTCTCTAAATGTAGGAAAAATAGGTCAGTAGAATGAGCCGCGTTTCAGATCTTGATAAGAAAAAGGTACAACTAATTTAAATAAATTGCTGTTTTATAAATTTACTATTAATTACTTTTCAGGAAATATTTTATTGGAGACACAACTTAACTCGTCACTCTGTAATTATCAATATGTAACTTCTTTTTATTATTATTTTTGAATAAACTTACTTCTATGTGTCCCATCCCTGAGTCTGTATGAGGTTGTGTTGTTGAAGAGCAATACTGTCGTTCTGGGCTACTAGGAGATCGTAATTTTCTTTCATAACTGGTATCATGATAATCGAGCTGAAACAAGGCATTAATATTTTATAGCTTTAAATAAAAAAGTCAAAATAGCTCATTGTTTGTACATTTTAAACAATTTTATCACACAAATCTGTGGATGATTTATGTAATAAAACAAAAGTCATTGCTCAGTAAGGGAAACAGTGGGCTCAGGCCTTATTTGGTTTCACAAAAATTCATTTACTATTATTATATTACACATTTTATATGGAGGTCTAGTTTTTATAATCCAAAATATCTTGAATGAAGATAAGATAGTTTATTACTTTAGTAAATGAATGAAGGAGATAAGTTTCAAAATTACCTTGACTTCTGAAGATCTTATAATGGGTTCATTCATAACAGTCGTTGTCGGAGAGTACATGTCACTATTTGAGGGCGAGCATTCAGAAAATCCATCCAACTCCTTCTTTATATGGGGAAGGCATCCTGTGGATACTACCCCTGCTACGTTAGTGTCCGTCATCATGGACACCTAAAACAAGAAATAATGTTACAGGGCTATGATTTAACAGTACATATTTTAATAAGAACACTGAGACTTGCTACTAAATTTTAGTTCCTTCCTGAACAAATAATTTTAGAATTTCGCTATGGTATCCTAAATAAATAACTAAAAATTAAGCTAAAGGTACATCTTTCAAGTTGGGACAAATTTGTTATTAAAAGGTGATAAGTGATGTTGATAAAAAATATGTAGGTCAATTTGTAAATATGGTAGAGATCAGCTTTTGGTTTGAAAATATGAAAGTGCTTATTGGGTATAAGACAGATTCTTCCGTAGCTCTGGTAATATCAATAACATGGAAGAGCATATTGTTTGATGTTTTTGAAAAACATAGCATTAAAACAAAAAATCAAATATTTTCGAAACTAAACAAGGTGATAACAAGATGCAGTTTTTAATACTTGTTCAAGCATGAAAAAATCTATCTTCTGTCATACTTAATGTATTTAAGATGAAAAATAGACAAATGTAAAAATTGATTTCCGTTAGATTTTGTTAAAGTATGTATGTTCGGGCATGTATGTATTTAGTTCGCAAAATGTATGTGTTGTGTTACGTTATATTTTCTGTTAGGTACTATTTAAGTGTTAAAAAAAATATGTTACATGTAACATTATATGGTAATGGGAAATGAACTGCGAAAATAATAGTCAAGCATTGTTTAATGTTATATAAATATTAGAAATATTAGAAAGAGAAAAAAGAATAGGTAAGTAAATTTATTATGAAAGCAGCCATACTATATTTGAAAATATGATTACATCATTACTACATACATTATAAAAACGCGTTTCTATATTAAAATAATAAGAAAACACAAAATTAGTCCATGTAATGCAGAAAATGTTTTTTTTTTTTCATGTTTGAATGAATAGCGAAGACATTATGTTGGTTTTGGAGATATTTAATATTTTTGAAGATGCTAAAAAATAACTTCAATTTATAAAAATATCAAATAACACCACAGTGGTAAGAAATTCAAAATGCAATTAGGTAATATATAGTTCTGAAATGTAGGTAACACCCAGAAGAAATTGATTTGATGACATATACCTGTTGTACATATTAATACTTTTTTTGTATTACCCACTGATACTATCGAAGCTAAAGTGGAATCATTCTTAAGTATGTATATAAAACCAATTATAATATTTACTGGGTCTTTTACAAAGAAACAAAAATCTGGAATAATTTCAGATACTAAATGCAGCATTTTGACACTAATTAAAAATTTATTGATTTAATAGAAAGAGGGTAGTAGTTAATGTTATATGATTTAATAACATTTTATTCTGGGAATTTTTCTGAGTAGCATAAAAATTCCACAATACTGTACAATGCACAAATTACATTTCGAAATAAAATAAATGCTTAGAACAGAAAAAAGTTCTCAAAAAGTATGTAGTTTTTCATTATATCTGAGTGGTGGCATTTTAAATTTTGCGTTGATTGTAATTTCCTTACTCTAACAATATTTTTAGTAATTTTAAATACCCATTTTTTTTTTACAAAAATTAAAGAAAAACTGTTACTAGGCAAAATTACTGAAGATATAAAATATCATCTAGGACAGGAAAACCATAAATTTTTTAAAAAGTTTTATGTGGTAGATTGTGGATGTGGATTTTTTTTATCTGATTTTTTTTTGTGACTTTAAATTTAATATATTTTCTCATTCCATTGATTCCTTCAGTAGTATTCATACAGTTTATTCTATTCAATAAGTACATTTTGTAAATTCATAAAAATAATTGTACATCGATGGCATAGTATATCTTCACTAGTCCTTTAGATATGGAGACTTGTATTTTTAAAATTTTTCTTAGTTTTGAGCCTGTATTTACAATCCAGGTTAAAGCAAAACAGTGTTTTCGAGTACAGACTGTTAAATTCTGGTAAATCATCTTTTTATTTCGTTAATATAAAAGATTATAAAAAAATGAGTAGGTAGGTGAATAAAATTATTATAAATATTGAATATTTTTCTGTATTTAGTACAGAGGACACTAGAATTAATTAATAATTAGTCAAAATTAGTTAAACTAGCACAATTGTCCAGAAATTTGTGGAAAGTTCTTGATATTCTGAATGTTAACATTACCATTAACATTATTATACCATAATTATTGTGGTATATACTTAGGAACTTAAATTTTTCTAAATGAGAAGAAACTGAAATGGTGCATTTTTTTCAGTTAATTGTATAAATAAAATGATGCCCGGGATATCACATAATAAACTTGTATTTTTGAAATGGAAATAATAGTTGGCTTATAAAAAACTTACATTTTTATAAATATCGGAATTAAAAAAAAATACAATCACAGGCGTTAAGAATTAGTACCTATTTAGAGAGATTTGTAGTGTACCTATAAGAGTTTTAAGTTTTTTCTCAATTTTGAAAATAACGAAGCCTACAAAATTATGGGCGATTATATTCTTGTATCTATGAATATTAAAACGTGAAAATTCACTGAAAGTTCTTCAACGTTTAAGGAAACTAACTAAACCCACTGGGTTATTGCAATTTTCATTCATTCATACAAGTTTTAAATGTTTAATTTGTCAAGAAAATATGTAAGTTCCGTTCCGATGTACGTATGAATTGTTCCGTACAATTATTTGAAAAACGAAAATAAGAACGTCCAAATAGCAGTTGCACACCCAGCGTACGTTTTGTAGCAGCTGATGTACACTTAAGGGGGAAGGAAGGTGCAACTGGTGGCCTTGCACTTGAACCGAGTAATAAAAAAAGAAGCACTTGCATAGTCAAGGTTGACTAGTTTCAGTGTTTGTTTCTTGACCAGTCGCAAAATCTGATGCACAACTACATTTCAATACCTGTCGGAGTGGTTTTCTTTTTACACGACGAAAACTGTTATACACTACTTATTTCTCAAGTTCTATATACGGGGTTCTATACATTAAATTTTGCCTCGTTTTGCACCTTCAAATTAGATTTTTGAGGTGAATAAATTTATTCTACAAAAAACATACTTTTTAATTGCGCCATGCAGTATATTTAATTTATTCAATAGTTTCACTGAAAAAATAAAGAAACCTTTTAGGATTTCCTGGTAGTAAATTTATTTCTATTTATAAAGTTTTAAAAATTTTATGATTGTGTATTTTGCATGGTGTTCCATAACTAGTTTACCAAGCAAAACAGTTCAAATAAGTATGAAAAACCCGAAAATGCTTCCTAATGTAGTTACAATTCCTAAGAGGAAGGTTTTATTCAATATGTTTGAAACTTGTAGGAATAAATATATATGAAATTTTGAAGATCTATTTTATTACCAATAAGATAACTAGATAAGTCCAATTTCTTTTAGATAGTTTTTTTTTTCAAATTTCATTGCGAAATTTAAGATTTTTTTACAAAAGAAATATTCTCTACAGGATTTCGATAGAACGTTTTCGTGTAAAATCCATTTTAATTACCTTATCAAATCACCAAATCGGTTTTCCAATCAGCCTGTAAAACTTCATCACTAGAGTTTGCGTTAAAGATAAGAAAAACGTTTTACTACATGCAAGTTTGAAATTGCTTTCTATACAGGCAGTGGCGGAATTTAGTAAAAGTTCTTTATTCTCAACGGCACTCCTGGGAATTAAAAGTAGTGATCGACTTTCCTGAATTTCTGGGATCTGGTGACCCATCGTATCTCCACCACTGACTGAAGCATTTATTTATAAATCCAACAGATATTCACCTTTAATTAGGCAAGAGACTAGCTTAAATTTCATAATTTTACGCACGCCTATTTTAAGGATTATAAAATAGTAGAATGAAGGTTGGTTTTCCCTCTCCTCTCTCCTAACAAATTTATTGTCTGTTAAATCCATCTCTGTTTCATCACATCCGTTTGTATCTATATATGACAGACATATATTTAATAAATAAATAATTTTATTCGACAGAGGGGAAAATCGACCCTAATAATAGAAAATAATGTATGCGCGATGAAACATTCAAGAACAAATATTTGTAAAGCAGACATCTGACATAGATATCGAAATTAAACAAGAGCCTCTATTTTACATAGAAAGTGATTCTCTTTCGGAATTTTACTTGTTTTTGCAATAGTTAATTAACTAGTGCTCTCTACACGAGCTATACCAAAATTATTTGGAAATTACTATTTATAACATATTACTGGGTAATTAACTTTCTACAGCATGTACCTGAAACAGTCAATATTTGTTTTAAGGCATATTTGGCCCGATCAATATATTTTAGTTTCTAGTATGTTCAGGTCCGAGTTTATTATCTAAAAAAAATACATATAACTTAGGATGGGTTTGCTGGAAGCAGAATGCTTATGTTCAAACTCAATACCTCAATCCCTCGGCCTTAAAAAGTTGTTTTTACGTAATATACTTATTACGACTAATTTTACATAAGCCTGAAATGCACAAATCAAAAAGAGCGTGCACTTGAAGTAGAATGGGATGGAAATGCAGGCAGCAAGTAACCAATAGTAAAGGTGTATAGTCTACCCACTTCAAAACTTTTACATTCCCTGCACTAAGGGCTTAATGATATTGGTTTAGGTACCTGTATTTCATTGATTGGTGATAGAACTTTTAATATCAATTTGACTTGAAAACTGACGCTCTGTCGAAGTACAAGAGAACCTTTCTTTCTTGTAAAAAAAACATAATTTTTAAATTTTGTGATAAAACGTGAAATAAAAAAGTGTTGACCTATTTCCAAATCAAATTTTAGAACCTATCTTGTTAGGAATAAAATGCTAGATTTATAAAATTTTATTTATTTATCCCTAGAAGTTTCAGAGATGCTGAATAAAATCCCTTCGCAGGGTCTCACCTTCAAGAGATTATAGCTTCTTTAGCATTTCTGGGTATAGGTTCACTTGAAGTTTTTTTATTCTTTATTTTCTTCACGTTGGTAATTAAATTTCCATAAAATTAAAGCAATAAGATCAAGTTGTGTACATTGA